CGTTGGTAAGAGAGGTGCAGCAGTCATAGGTGGTGTCACATTTGTTCAATGTGGAAGTAGGTCGTGCCCAAGAATTAGGCAAGCGAAGAATTCCCAAGTATTAAGATCCCAAGAAGTTGCAGTGTCTGACAGGTTTGTAGATGAATGGTTCAGAGAACCGACATGTTGATAAATTAGACACATGTGCAACTCTTGGGTATCTTTATTGAGGAAACGTTTCGCCACACAGTGGCTTCATCAGTCCATACAAAGGAGAATCTTGAAGAACAGGAGGAGAATGAGGTAATCAGCCCCTCAACCTTGAGTCGATGTGGTCAGTCCATCAATCTTGAATAGAATACGGCATACGTGCGGAGAAGGAGCTTATAAACCGTTGGCAGGAGAGGTGCAGCAGTTTCCTCAATAAAGATACCCAAGAGTTGCATATGTGTCTAATTTATCAACATGTCGGTTCTCTGAACCATTCATCTACAAACCTGTCAGACACTGCAACTTCTTGGGATCTTAATACTTGGGAATTCTTCGCTTGCCTAATTCTTGGGCACGACCTACTTCCACATTGAACAAATGTGACACCACCTATGACTGCTGCACCTCTCCTGCCAACGGTTTATAAGCTCCTCCGCACGTATGCCGTATTCTATTCAAGATTGATGGACTGACCACATCGACTCAAGATTGAGGGACTGATTACCTCATTCTCCTCCTGTTCTTCAAGATTCTCCTTTGTATGGACTGATGAAGCCACTGTGTGGCGAAACGTTTCCTCAATAAAGATACCCAAGAGTTGCACATATGTCTAATTTATCAAAGTATAAAGGCGTAAGGAGAGGAGGAGTTTGAGGTAATCAGTCCCTCAGCCTGGAGTCGATGTGTTCAGTCCATCAATCTTGTAGAATGTACAGCATAGGGCCGTAGACGTGGCTTATATACTGTAGTGAGGTGAGGTGAAGCAGGCGGAGGCGGGGTCATAGTGGTACCATCCACTAGTCGAAGTAGGTCTTCGTCCAAAGGTTGGACAAGTGTAGAAGAATTCTTTGTAACAAGATCCCATGATGCTGCAGTGTCTGACAGTTGTGATGAATGGTTTGAAGAAAAATAAGTTGAGCTTGAGGAAAATAACTCATTGCCTTTTCTAGATGTTTTAATTATTAAGAGTAATAATGAATTCAAATTTAAAATTTACAGAAAACCTACAAATAACTGTTCCTATGTACACTATTATTCTTCACATCAAGATAAAGTTAAACTGTCTGTTTTCTCATCAATGTTTTTGAGAGCTTTACGTATTTGTAGTCCAGAGTTCATAGATGAAGAAATATCCAAAATTTATGAAATAGTCAATGATCTGAAATACCCGAGAAATGTAAATGATAAATCATTTAAAATTGCTAATACTTTTTACAACCCAAAAAGGGACAACCAACCTTATTCAACTAAAAATATGTTGGTTCTCTCTTACCATGAAAACTTGGTTGATATGCCATCTCTTCTTAAGACTTTTAATATTAAAGTTGTATTTAAAAATCTGATACAGTAAAAACACTTTTGATAAATAATTCCCCCCAAAATGCTGACGGATGTGTCTATAAGATTCCTTGTAAAATTTGCGATAAAGTTTATTACGGTCAAACTGGTAAAAATCTCGAACTTAGATTAAAACAACATAAATATAGCATTAGAACTGGACAAGATTCAAATGCTCTATTTATTCATGTGAGAGACTTCAACCATCCAATTGATTTTCAAAAAGTTGAGAAAGTTGTATCAAGCAAGTCCATGGTTGACAGAAATATAATTGAATCTTGTTTCATAAAAAAGCAGTTTTGAAAATAATATGAATATTTCCTTAGGTTTGTATAAATTAGATTAATTTACAATTAATAAAATTTGGTTAGAGTTTAATAATACATTGGACAAATAATAAACCTTATTTCTTGGGTAGAATGATTTGTTGGTGGGTTGTCGTGAGGACCTGTCTAGAAACATAAACACATATGCAGTTTAATGTGATCTTTTATTGACAACGTTTCGCCCACACAGTGGGCTTTTTCAAGTCACACACAGATCTACCTGGGGTGGAAGGTACGGGAGTATTTATAGTATTTATAAACTATAAATACTCCAGTACCTTCCACCCCAGGTAGATCTGTGTGTGACTTGAAAAAGCCCACTGTGTGGGCGAAACGTTGTCAATAAAGGATCACATTAAACTGCATATGTGTTTATGTTTCCAGTGTGTCGGTATTTTATACCATTTATTCTCAGGACCTGTCTAGGTGGACCAGCGGATCTACTGCAGTGTTCCTCTTTTCTTATGAGTCCGGTAGTCCCGCGTCAGGTGTTTCTTTGTTGTGGGAGTTGACTGTGAGGTGTGATCTAAGCCCTTTGATTGCCTTGCTTTGATGTATTACTTTCATAGTTCCTTGACAATGTGAGTAGTCACGAAAGCGCTTGGAATTTCACTACTCTTTCACAGTGGTTGTTTTGCATATATATATATATATATATATATATATATATATATATATATATATATATATATATATATATATATATATATATATATATATATATATATATATATATATATATATGTCGTGCCGAATATGTAAAACTGGTCAATTAGCAAGAACTCATTTAAAATTAAGTCCTTTCTGAAATTTTCTCTTATACGTTTAAAGATATTTTTTTTTTCATTAATGTTAATGTAAAAAATTTTAATTTTGCACCAAAAGAATCTCAGAAAACTTACCTAACCTTATTAATGCAAGAGCAATTTATTTTAGCCTAACCCAACTAAATATATTTTAAATACGTTTACAATAATTTAGTACTAAACAAACACATTCAAATATATTTTTATAGTTAAATTCAGAACGATTTTGGCGAAATTATTGCATACACAAACTTTCCCTTCTCCTATATGGCAAGATGAGCGTTGCTATTTAAGCCAAGATCGCATATATATATATATATATATATATATATATATATATATATATATATATATATATATATATATATATATATATATATATATATATATATATATATATATATATATATATATATATATATATATATACTTGATAATGTGAGAAGTGACGAAAGCGCTTGGAATTTCAATATTCTATTGTTTTGCATATTCTGAAATCACCTGTTTACTGTGATCTTATTGCATATATATACTTATGTGTCTTTTCAACTCAGTCTAAAGATATCACATTGCCCGATAACTCACAATAATAATAATATTTATATTATTTTTCCTATCTATAACGTGCCTATCCATCTTGCCAGATTTCAGAATACAACCCACAGGATTGCAGCTTCAGCTTGTTCCTCCATAAAAGAACTGACTAGATCCAAACACAACCATGGATCCAGTAACGAGAAAGCTAGTGTGGATTCCATCTCGTGTAATGGGTGGGATAACATCCCAGAAATCAATAACTATACAGGTCAGAAATATAATAAATTATGCATATAGATTAAAACCTATTAAGTCACTAGGCCCTGGCGAGTTGTTTTCTAAGATTCTAAATGAATGTAAGAAGGAATTTAGCAAACCGTTAGATAGTCTTTCCAATAAATCACTATATATGGGTAGCATACTGGGTAAATGGTAAGTGCTAAATATGATACCCTTTTATAAAGTGGGATATATGTTCACAGCTTTAAGTTATACACTAGTCACCCTAACCACCTAAGCCGTGGGAAAGTTGATGGCGTCAATAATCGTGGATCTAATTCAAAAGTCATCTTGAGAGATATAATTTGATCAATGAATTTCAACATGATTTTTACCAAGAGGTGTTGCTCCCTTATGAATTTACTAGCCTTTTTCACCAAGGTATTTGTGGCAGTAGAACGAGATAAAGAATACGAGAAACTGAAGAAGAAATTATTTCCTGGTTTGAGGCTTAGTTGACTGATAGACCTCAGTGAATTTGAATTAGTGAGATATCAGAATGGGGACCCGTTGCAAGTGATGTTCTTCAGGGGTTAGTACTGACTCCTTTGTTGTTCACGATTTTCATAAACGATGTAGATGAGGGTATAAATAGGGACATAAGCAAATATGCCGAGGACACTAAAATACATCGTTAAATCGTTGCTGTCGCTCGAGATCTATGGAATGATATGGATAGGTTGATGTGGTCAGAGAAATGGTAGAAGCAGTCTAATGTGGACAAATGTAAGGTTCTAATTCTTGGAAAATCAAATAAATATGGCACTTATAAACCAAATAATATAGACCTTAATCAAATTAAATGTGAAAAAAACTTAGGTGTTGTTGTCAACAGAACATCTAAGACGAAAAAAATGCAATTATGTTTGCAATAAAGCTAATAAAATTCTTGGCTTCATATCAAGAAGTGTAAGTAATGGAAGTCCTCAGGTTATACTTCAACTTTATAAATCCTTGATATAACCTCATTTAAATTATGCTGCTCAGTTCTAGACTCAGTAATCCAGAATGGACATAAATGCATTGGAAAACATACAGAAGGGTGAAGTAGGTTCCCTATATCATATACCTTTATTTATAGGAAGATTAGGCTGGAGACACTGAATTTGTACTCTCTTGAGAGGTGTAAGTTTGAGGATATGATTGAAGTGTACTAAAGGGAAGCCGGAATATATATAAAGGGGATATCAGTAATATACTGAAAATATGTTGCATTATATTTCAGTAGGAAATAGCAATGAAGAGAGTCTAGCTGGGCAGAAATTGTTTCCTCTTCACTAATGTTGAATGCGAGTCATTTTAATTGTTTTAAGTTTGTATTTCAGCAACGAGTAATAAATATTAACAAGTAATAAATATTAGCATAAATAATAAATATTAACTTAACAAGTAATGAATATTAGCATAGATAATAAATATTAACTTAACAAGTAATAAATATTAGCATAAATAATAAATATTAACTTACAAGTAATAAATATTGTATTAAATTAAAAGAAACACTTGAAGTTAGTTATTAGAGTACCTTGCATGGTGGTGGTGTGGGAGTCACTGAGGTCTTGGTGCTGCTGACGGAGGGTAGCCACCTCCACGCTGGAGTTACTGAAGCCTTCCAGCACTCGATCCTGCACTCCAGATGACAACTCTGTAGGTGAAACTCTCATCGTGTGAACTCAGTTTAGGTTATTTGTTACACGTTTGTACCATGTTTACATGATAAGATAAAGATACTATCTAGAACATCTGTTCTAGCTGTGGGATGTTTCAAAGCCTCTTGTCTCTTTACTGATCCTTACACAGCTTCTCACGTATCTGTTTTTACTGATCCTAACAGACTTGTATATAAATACTTGATTCTTCTTAGCGTTGCATCATTCCCTCCGGCTTAAAGAGCTTATATGAATTATATTAGCTTAAGCTTTGTTCTCCAGCTAAAATCTACAGTAAACAAAGAACCTGTGTGATGAGCTCACCTGTGACAAGGTGGGTGTGGTTCTTGAAGAGCTGGGTCGTCTCATCCTTCAGTGTCTCCAGCAGATCTACAGGAGATACCAGCAGGGATGTAAATAGATCATTAACGATAGTTAGGTTTAAAACCAGTGCCGGATTTAGATGAAGAGAGGCCCTAGGCTATTCCACTTGTGAGGCCCCTCCCAGTCCCCCACCCTCACCACTACAAGAAGATGGAAGAGTGTTTTGAACAAAATTCAGTGAAGCCGAGGATGATGATGGGTCCTTAAAATTCCGCAATTCACAATTCCTCCTCTAAAGGACATAAGACGTTATTGTTAAATAACGTAGTGATTGAAAAAAGCATAAATGTTAAAATTAACACTGTGAAAAACTTTCACTATAATTGAACTTTGTAAACATTTTGTGGAATGAGCAGGAATTTTTTAGAAAAATGGAATTGTAAGTTTACTGTTATATTCTTTAAAATACATATATTCTTTTAGAATACATATTAAGAAAATAAACTACTATATCAAATACACTAAGACTAAAAAAGTTTTTCTAGCCTTCCTGATAGTAAAATCATCCAAAAGTTTAACAAAATTTGTTTAAAGTTTGTCACTTTCAATGCACAGAATGTTTAGTGTGAACAACCTCTCTGGAGATATTGTGGTCCTTAATTCATTTTTATTCTTTTGAGGCTTGAAAGAGACCTCTCTCCCTAGGAGTTAGTGACCATTAAGCTAAGAAATAGTCACAAGATTGCTTCCACATTAGGGAAGACCATCTGAATTTTTTCCTTTTGTATAATTTAATAAATGTGTGTATGAAACAGTGACTGCTCTTCTGTAGGTTTATGGTTTTGTCTCATGTACAAGTGAAAGTGCAAAGTTCATCAGTATGTTTCAGGTGAACATCTTCTAGGTACTGTATGTTTCCATCAACAGTTCAACACACTGTTGAATTTCTTGCTTAAATGTTGTCAGATTAGCAAGAAAGGAAAACATTTATGCAACATCACTTTACACGGTAGCTTTTCGTCTTAAATTGGCTTCAAGTGCATCTAGTACAGGAATAAAGGATTTTATCCTAAAGTTATCTCTTGAAGAGAGTTCATCTAAGACATCAGAACCAAGTTCACTTCCGTTATTTCCCTGCCGTTTCCTTACTCTTTGTCTCCTTGTGACAGTTCTGTAGTTAACATTTAGCAAGATGGCTTTTCCTTCTTTCTCAAGCTCATCAAAATCTCTAATTTTGCTTAAAAAATCTTGAAGTGAACTGTACAAAAGTGCACAAGTACTCAGTAACAATTCTGGTTTCTGAATGGCTTTTCTGACCTTATAAAAATGACCTAGCACATCTGTCCAAAAATACAGCATAAACACAAATTTCAGTTCTTCCATTTTCTGCTTCTCATTAACAAGAGTACAAATGAGTACAAAAGACAGTATTATTATAAAATGGAGTGCAAGGAACATTACTGAAGAGTTGTTTAGGGAATACTGTGAGTTATGACAGCATGTGTAAGAAAGGCCTTTGAGAGTATCAAAAATGTTACACACCTTGGCCGGAGGCCTCTTAGATTTTGAGGTGCTAGGTTTCAGCCTACCAAGCCTATAAGCAAAATCGACACTTTAAAACATATTTTCTACAAAATTATTTTTATGTATCTTTATTATTGAAAACGTTTTGCCTAGACAGTAGCAGGTGTAGTAGTAGTGACATGAAGATGTCCTGGGATTGTCAAGGTCTTTAATACAAGGCAAGGGCTTGATATTCCTAGTTTTAGTAATAGGAAAATTGAACCTAACGCTGTACTTAGCATTAGATGTTTAAAAAATGAACCAGACACTTATTTCCAAAAATCTTACTAAATACCTATAAATAAATAAACACAAATTCGGATGAACTGTGTAAGCATACTATTGTATCAAATTTTATAACCTACATGAACTGTATCACTGGACAACAAGAGAATTTTACCTCTCCACAGAAGCTGTGTTCATTTATTATTACATATCTTCAAGCTTCTTCCTAGAAGCTCATCCCCAATATTTCTTTATTAAATCATTTGCATAAATGCAGCTGCTCAAAAGTAAATTTCTCACTTAACTGTTAGTAAGAAGATATCACAAATTATCGGCTGGTATCTGCTCTTGTTGCCACCTCCTTAGATAAGAACTCGAGCGTAACCATGTTAAGTTAGACATGATAATTGACAACTGGGTGTCTACGTTACAAACTGAATTATTATGCCATCCTAGTGGCGCTAAAGTTAATTTATACCACTGAGCTTGACTCCTTGATCATTACTGACTGTGTCATTAATGAAGGTTCTTGACTCACATAATGACTCATAACATCATACTCATTGTATAAGTCAGGAATAGTTACTGAAAAATAAGAAAAACAATAATGTACAATTGTTATTAACTCCATCTAACAATGAATTACTGCGTTACGAAAAATTTGATAAATTAGCCAAAGAAAGTATCTTAAAGGAAGAAGTTGATTGTAACATTAATCTTACTGTGTCAAACGTTAGAAACAATATATTGAGAGAAGTTAGTAATAAATTTAAATGTCATAGGAGCACAGAACTTAAATGATTCGCACTTACTGTCCTGGCCCGGGTCTTTTCCAGATGGTAACCCGGCACTGTTCCCCCGGGTGGGGGGAACACAGAAGCTTGTGTATGTCTGTCACTGACTCACTATGATAACATGAACGTAGATAAGTACATTTATGGAGCAACTTACAATGTAAATAGAATGACCGATGTAGTAGCTAAGCATAGGCTTGGTTACAAGTACTTCTATCAGTTTTGCACATAAACAGATGTTGATCAAACTAAATGTAAAGCGTGTACTAAGCCCCTTGGCCACTTGTTTCAACACCGTGTCCTTGAATGTCCACTTACCGAGCAATATACGGATGGTATAATAACCTATGTGTTATATCACAGTATACTATTAGTGAAAGTAAGGTACCAGATATTTTAAGCGCATATCCTTAATTTGCTTGTAACAGACGAAATATATGTACTACTGTTAACCCTTTAGGAGTCCAGTTCCTAGGTGTTTAATGTATCCACATATTCTTGCACTGCCATCCACGGGATGGATATTGGGTGCAGAATCAAGTAGCCGCTATGGAGGCAAAATCTATATCCTCGTGACAATGTGGCATTCTAAAGTAACGAATAGAATGATCGGTAAAGGAAAAAGGATTAATGATAGTTGTGTATCTATATATTGAAAAAAATAAATATTATTGATAGCAAGAGGAATAGTTGGCGCAGACTCAAGACGCCAGAGGAGAATAAATAGGCAAAATTTATGTTTAGAACAGAATATCCTGTGTCAAGGATAACCAGGTTTACTTTGTGAATGTGACTGAGAGGAGTCAGGAACAAGACAGTAGAGAGAGAATATGAGTTTTTAATTTTTTTTTTTTTTTTTTTTTTTTTGGTCAGTGTTGGGTGGTGGAAGAGTACGTGAGGAAGTGTAGCAGCAGCAAGACTGTACCTTGTAGTTCGATGTTGAAGGAGACGCTGAGACTCTCAACTTGACGTCTCAGGTCAGCCACGTCCAGGTTGCTGTTGTTGAATCCCTCCAGCAGCGCCTGCAGCAGCATGCTTTTCGACGACTCTGTTTGAAAGGTTTAATTTTTAACATTTCAATTTACAGGCTAAGATCTGTTATTCACTTGAGCTTAATCCAAAGTCAAACCCAATCTAAGGCATATAACATCCCACCCTTACCAAGACGCAACCCATAACACAGTCTAATACCAAGATGCTAAGTGATGACGGATAGTATATCTGTTATTCAAATTACGTTGCTGTGTGATACATCATACACTGAGTTCTATACTTCTCAAGGTATAATCTACTGTAGATGAATACCGGCAGCAGGCGTATACCATACGTCCATACATCTCGCCCAGTCTGGGAATCAAACTGGGGCTCTTTCGTTTGTAAGCCGAACATCTCCTTTGAGCTACATGTTTATGCAACCATTTCTCATAATAATAATACTGATTTCCCTTCCTTCACTCCTTCCTTCCTTCTTTCACGGGGAATACTTTGACGGTGAAGGGAATGGTGACATAAGGAATCACGGAGGATCTTTATCTCTCTCTTTCCTCGGATCAAAATCCAAAGCAAGTGGCACACTTGTACCTTTCGATAAGCAACGAATTTAGGAATACGGATTATGTAATTATTATTATTGTTATTATTAATTATTATTATTCATTGAGCGTTAAATTCGTATGGGTCATTTTAATTCCACCGCCCTCCTTCTGGACGTTCAACTTTTTTTTTTTTTTTGGGGGGGGGGGGCGGGGCTTAGAAGGAACATGGAATATGCTATGTGGACTGTCTCGTACGGTTTAGCGCATCCTCTTTCCCAGGAAATATGAGTGATACCCTTCCCTCATAGTTCTACTGGTATACTGGTTCTGAGAGTTACGTGGGCCTACGGGCCGCTAGGAAGAACAGTCTGGTTGACCAGACAGTCATGGAAGCCTGGCGTCAAGCCGGGCTGCCACGGTAGAAGAATCCTTGAACCCGGTCACAGGTATACTACAGGTATACCCGTGGTTCACCCTCCATCCTTGCCTTGCCCGGTAGCTGTAAGATTGAAGCCACTGGCGACCTGCGTCTTGGTGTGACCAAGTTCCTTGGACAGCGCCTTGAAGCCCTCTGATATCAGCTGCAGCAGCTTCCTCTGGTACTCCCGCTGCTGAGCAGCCTCCTGCTCCCTCTGCTCGCCCTCTGCAATATATTAATGCATATTAGCTATTTCGGAAAAGGTTCCGAGGTTCATTTATATCATACCTCTGCACGTCTGGCAACGCTGCTAGGTCTGGCAACACTGCTAGGTCTGGCAATACTGTTAGGGACTAAACAATACCGCAACTGGAACAACACACAAATAGCCCTCACATAGGAGAGATAAACTTATGACGACGTTTCGGTCCAACTTGGACCATTAACTAGTCAGGCTAGTCAATTCTCCAAGTCGGACCCAAACGTCGTTATAAGCTTCTTTCTTCTATGTGAGGTCTGGTACTGACAGGGAATGAGTGATGTTAAATGTGTTTTCAATATGTAGGTCGTTTTATATTGTTGGAAAACGACCCATGTCTTACAAAATAATATTAATGGATTTTGGGGCATAATGGGGAGTTGCAAACGTTTGTTTAGATAACATAACATGCTAGTCTTTTGACTCTATATTGAGATTTAACCTATTTGTGTTTCTAGATATGTCAAAAAATATTATTTCATATTTGAGATAAAGAAATGGATCAGCGTTCGGACATCAATTAAAAGACATCAACTCCTCTCAGTACCTGCCTTCATCAATAACAAGACATCAACTCCTCTCAGTACCTGCCTTCATCAATAACAAGACATCAACACCTCTCAGCACCTGCCTTCATCAATAACAAGACATCAACTCCTCTCAGTACCTGCCTTCATTAATAACAAGACATCAACACCTCTCAGTACCTGCCTTCATCAATAACAAAACATCAACACCTCTCAGTACCTGCCTTCATTTAATAACAAGACATCAACACCTCTCAGCACCTGCCTTCATCAATAACAAAACATCAACCTCTCAGTACCTGCCTTCATCAATAACAAAACATCAACACCTCTCAGTACCTGCCTTCATCAATAACAAGACATCAACACCTCTCAGCACCTGCCTTCATCAATAACAAAACATCAACACCTCTCAGTACCTGCCTTTATCAATAACAAAACATCAACACCTCTCAGTACCTGTCTTCATCAATAACAAAACATCAACACCTCTCAGCACCTGCCTTCATCAATAACAAAACATCAACACCTCTCAGTACCTGTCTTCATCAATAACAAAACATCAACACCTCTCAGTACCTGCCTTCATCAATAACAAAGCATCAACACCTCTCAGTACCTGCCTTCATCAATAACAAAACATCAACACCTCTCAGTACCTGTCTTCATCAATAACAAGGCATTACTCAATGGGAGATCAGAAAATACTTAGAAATCATCAAGAACAAAGAGAATGTAGCAAATAAAATAAAATAAAATCAAGTTTATTCTCTATAAGGGTCACAATGTGGAGTTTACAGGATTTGGATATTGTGTGGTTTACATGTTATAAAATACTAATTACAGAGGGGGCCACTAGGACACCTAGCATGGCTAGGCATTTCGGGCAGACTTAGATTAATTCTTAACATTAAATCCTTACAGATTATGGTATTAAGGCTAAGTGACTACATTATAAGAATAAGAATGAGAATGAGAACAAGCCGAGTATGATTAACCCTCGCTGGTATACAGCAAAAAAAAAGTAATAATACTGGCGACAGGAACATGAAGAGACATGGAAGGATTTATCACTTATACAGTACATATCGAAGGAAGAAAGAATTATTAAAATAAAACATAATTGACATAATAATTGAGGAAGAAATAAATATACTTTTTTTTTCTATAGAGTAACAGGGATTAACTAAGACACAAATTTTGACCAGGGCAGCATTAGATGATCATTAAAAATGAAACCAAAAATTTAAAACTAACAGGAAATGGAAGAGGCTAACAAATATATATATCTTCTTTCAACAACAAACCAGCCGTAACCCACCAAAGCAAGGTGACCCAGAAAGAAAAACGAAAGTTTCTCTTTTCAAATTTAGTTATATATGCATTAGAAGTGGTTAATAGCAGTGTTGGGCAAAGTTCCGCTAATTAGCGGAACTAACTTTTTGTTTAGCTCCGCTAACTTCGGAAACCGTTAGCGGACCGATTAGCTTCTGCTAAATAAAGGTCTGCTACTTTGAGTCCGCTAAAAAATTTCTTATGTTGTAAGCGGAAAGCAGTACCTTTTCAATGGCACACGTGTTCCTGTCTGTTGTGGGCGTTTCTCCAACAGTCAGTCAGGCACGCTATTGACTGACTACATGTAAATGTGACTTGTCAATGCAGCAGTAGCAGTATCTGAGCAGCACTGTTATAGTCTTACAGTGCCAACGATCAGTGGGGTGCTTTGACTTGTCTTATGAACAGGGGAGACATAAATCTGTTCCACCTGAAGATGTTGAGGAGTCTGCAGCTGCTGTGGTTGAAGCAGATGCCGCTCAGGCTGAGAGCTAGGAGTCGCAGAACCCGTGGCCCCACCTGGATGACTATTTTGTCCTCTAGTCAAAGGATAGGAAAAACGCCAATATGTTGTACTTCCTGTGCGTCATGTGCCAGCCCAAGGAGACCATCATCAAGAGACAGGCAGCGAGCCTGTGCATGCCATCAAGTTTGAGGAGAGAATCAAGGCTGGATCTTCCCATGGAAAACAAGGGCAATCTTCTTGTGGCAGTGCCACTAGCAGGAGCAGCTCATGAAGGGCAACCAGCATCACATCAAAGCGATGGAGAAGGCCCAGCCAGAGTAGTCATCATCACATCCATCATCCGATCTTGACATGATACCCATGCTATGCATTTTGTACAGTAAATAAAGTGCATATTGGATTTAAAGTGACGTTATGATTTCATTTGTTCATTTAACTATTTGTGTGCACCAGTATGACTATCGCTAGTGCAGCGATAAGTTGGCCTCAAGGTTGCAACTTTAAGCATGATTTTCAACTACTTGTTTGTAAGTTTACTGTGTTCAAAATCTAAATTAAGTTAAATGCAAACATGAATAGAAACAGAATAAAATGAACGAATACAATGAGTAACTGGAACTAATGAAGAAAACAGTCAAATAAGCTAACTCAGTGTGTTGGGGTGTTATGGGGCTTCAGTACAGAGACAAGTGTGCTAATTTTGCACTAGCAGCACTTGATCGTCATATGACCTTGGCATTCTATATCTTATTAGGAAGTTCTCCAGGTCTGTACTAAAAGTCTTAAAAGTAAAAGTAAAAGACCAAGAAACTAAATCAAATCTGAATTCATTTGAAAAAGTTAGTGCTTAAAGTTTAGCATTAGCTTCCGTTAATTTTTTCGGCTGTTTAGCGGTTTAGCATTAGCGGATTAGCGTTTAGCGAAGCTAACTTTTCAGTTAGCTGTGCCCACCACTGGTTACTAGCCCCTTGCTCCCGGCATGTTACTTGCCTCTTATGACAGGCATGGCTTGCAGAGGAAGAATTCTGTTCTACTTCCCCATGGAGATAAGAGAAAACAAACAAGAACAAGAACTAGTAAGAAAATAGAAGGAAACCCAGAGTGGTGTGTATGTATATATATATATATATATATATATATATATATATATATATATATATATATATATATATATATATATATGTGTGTGTGTGTGTGTGTGTGTGTGTGTGTGTGTGTGTGTGTGTGTGTGTGTGTGTGTGTGTGTGTGTGTGTGTGTGTCTGTGTGTATGTGTGTGTGTATGTGTGTGTATGTGTGTGTGCATGTGTGTGTATGTGTATGTGTGTGTGTGTGCATACTCACCTAATTGTGGTTACAGGGGTCGAGACTCAGTATTTAAGGGTTTATTGGGTCGTTCTTGGTAGCGCGGAGTAAAGATAAGATCTTCGGGTACACAGGCAGTGGGGTACACAGGCAGTGTGTTAAGTGCCCATGGCCCGGGAGAGCCATGCCACGAGGGAGAGAGGAGTAAGGCCTGTTGTATGAGTGAAGGCTGCTGAGTGAGAGAGGTAGAGACAGGGGTGGGCAGGCTGGCATGCCCACCGAGAGGCCTGGCCTCTGGTGGAAACTATGGGAATTAGGCATATAGGCTCACTGGCTACATTTCACTCGGCCACCTACCACATGGTCGACCCCAAGCATGATTGGCAGTAAAAAAAAAACTCAGTCTCTCTCTCACAGGAACAGGGCACAGAACACAAAATAAAAAACATACATATACATACACAGACATGGAAAAAAAACTTCCTACAGGGAGGGAAGAAAAAAACAGGCGGGATGTGCTAAACATCATGGTCATAGGCAGTGAGCATTGAGGGGCATCACTGCACACCTTCCTGCATCTGGACAGATACTGTAACACAGGAGACATCGCTGCAGCCAAGCTGTAACGTAACAGGGTACAGTCTCTTCCGGAATGGTGAAGCAGTCATCGTAGTAGTCACTGCAGGGTTTCACTCAACCTGGGGCACAACCTGCTGGTTCCCTCGAGTGAGGCGTCGTCACCACTCGGCAACTGGGCAGGACTTCTTCTGGCAAGCGACTCAGGAGGGCATTTCTCTACTGGTACTGTCGCTGGGCTGTCACTGCCAGTGAGCGTGCAGTGAGTGGTGGCAGAGACGACTCGGCAAAACATCTGGGAGTAGTAACAGCATACACCATACTGCAGTGAGTGAGCTAGCAGTCAAAGTGACATCATCTTTGTGCAGGCTGCTCACTGAAGCTATGACATGAGGCTGAGACAGCGCCTGCCGACAGGGCTAACTGCAGTTTGACGAGTGCCATACTCTGGGCAGTTGGAATTATAGTAGAGGTTAGGCTAAGCGTCCCAAGACTTGTTTCTCTACATATAACTGCACTCTAAAGGTCAGGAGGTGAAGTGAAACAAATCTCGATGGGAATCATAGCAGGTACGATTCTGCAGGGCATCACGAGCGGCCAACATAAATAGCTTTCTGTACAAGAGGCTCAGATGCTCAGGGCTGACTAATATCAGCTGTCAAACATGCGGGTCACACTGGGTGACAAGTAACACGAGGTGCTACACAGTGGTCGGGGTGCAGACCTGTGGTCGACACACAGCTGGGCTCAAGGCCACACAGGACACATGGGAAACTGCACACACCTGCACTGCACATGCGGTACTACATGGCTTACTAGCAAATGATCATTTTCTGTGCAAAAATCGACACTAAGCTATACACGAACATGTGAGAACACTGACTGAGAGGAATTAATTAACACATGACATATATCTTCTCTCAATCTTCTCGACAATACTGAAATAATTACCAGAACACTCCATGTGACATCATGTGATGTCGGGCATGATGTTGCGAGGTGACGTCAGCAGCATGGTGACATCAGCAGACATCTCGAGGTGACGACATGAAGTCGGGCAGCATCGTCGGTGGCGTGAAGTCGGGCAGCATTGTGGGTGACGTCATAAGGTGACATCAGTGTGATGTGGCAGCAGACCACAGCATGTGGCCTGGGATGTCTGGCTTGGTAACCCACATGGCTTGTAGATCCACGTGGCATCGTCGACACTCCACATGGATTGCTCCATGTGTCTTGCTGATCTCCGTGGCTTGGTTAACGGATTATTGGTCATTCTTGGTAGCGGGGAGTAATGATAAGGCTTCGGAGGTTTCTTACTATATTTGCAATGTCATGGGGTACACAGGCAGTGTGTTAAGTGCCCATGGCCCGGGAGGGCCTTGCCTGCGAGGGAGAGAGGATTGGGCCTTGTTGACTGAGTGAAGGCCACTGAGAGAGTGAGGCTAGGCTATTCCACTTTCTGATGACTCTATGACTGAAGAAATACTTCCTAACATCCCTCTGACTCGTCTGAGTCTTCAGCTTCCAATTGTGACCCCTTGTTTCTGTGTCCCCTCTCTGGAACAACCTGTCTCTGTCCACCTTATCTATTCCATGCAGTATTTTGTATGTCGTTATTATGTCTCCCCTGACCCTCCTGTCCTCCAGTGTCGTCAGTCCGATTTCCCTCAACCTTTCTTTGTAGGACATACCCCTGAGCTCCGGAACTAGCCTTGTTGCAAACCTTTGCACTTTCTCTAATTTCTTGACGTGCTTGACCAGGTGTGGGTTCCAAACTGGTGCTGCATACTCCAGTATGGGCCTGATGTACACAGTGTACAATGTCTTGAACGATTCCTTACTAAGGTATCGGAATGCTATTCTCAGGTTTTGCAGGCGCCCATATGCTGCAGCAGTTATCTGGTTGATGTGTGCCTCCGGAGACGTATTCGGTGTTATGGTCACCCAAAGATCTTTCTCCTTGAGCGAGGTTTGCTGACCACCTAGCCTATACTTTGTCTGCGGCCTTCTTTGCCCTTCCCCGATCTTCATGACCTTGCATTTGGCAAGGTTGAATTCAGGAAGCCAGTTGCTGGACCACGTGTCCAGCCTGTCCAGGTCTCTTTGAAGTCCTGCCTGATCCTTATCTGATTTAATTCTCCTCATTAACTTCACATCATCTGCGAACAGGGACACCTCTGAGTCTATCCCTTCCATCATGTCTTTCACATTGTGTATGTGTGTGTGTGTGTATGTGTCCCCTTGATGCTGGTGAAGGGCTTTTCGACTACTAAATTTCAGTTTCCCACCTCTTCCTTGGAGCAAACCTGATTACTTCCCATTCCCCAGATTCTGTTAGGTGCTTCCCCACGAACATAATGATTATAGTAGTATAGGAAAATGGGAACCAGTTTGTCCTAAAAAAAACAAAAAATCCGAAAAAATAGGGAAGTTACTGTGACAGTGTCTGTGTTCAGTAAAAAATATGATAGGAGGGAACATCGAGGCATAATGTTCACATATTAGGTCATAAACAGAGATGAAATATTGGATGCGAATACTTGAACCAGCATTAACAGGGAAAAGTAGCTAAAGTTGTAAACTGAGTAAAAAACTGTGGCGAAACGATGCAAGAATGTTTTTCTTCTCAGAGTGGAGGAAGAACACAGTGCGTCGCAGGACCAGGCAATGAGTGCTACAACCACGGGAATTTTTACGAACTTATATGGTACATTAAACACTGAAGAAGAGACAACCAGGAACATAGTTCCTCCCCTGTAGTACAAGTAGGTAACACAAAGCATAAAAGCCTCTCACTCCATCACTCTTCGTCTTGTCTTGTTTGACTGACTGTGTTGTACAATTTAACTGTGTGTCATGCACTACATTCTTTCATAGTTCGTCATGACCTTTTTACCCCCTTTAGTGTGTTTGTGCTCCCCTACCCCAGCTGACACATGAAACATTCAGTGTGCACCATCTGGTGAAACTTTTTAATTGATACACGTCTTTTGCGCTGGTTTTATGCATGTGTTTTAAAGTCTTTTATTGTTCTTTTCTTTTACCTCGAGTGGCTCTTCTCGGACCTTTATTTTTACCCTTTTTTCCTATGTATCTTTTAGCAATTTTGCTTTACTCATGTTTAGTTAATATTTGTATGTGTGTGAATGATTTGTCATATTGTGTTTCGTATGTGTTGTATGCATGTGTGTGTGTATGTTGTATGTTGACTGGATGATCCCAGTTCAAGTTCTTGGTAAAGTTCACATCTTGCTTGACTCTCACTGGCTTCTTCATTAACCAATACATCAACACCACTGCCTTCCTTTATGTGTCGCCATATATTTATACCTCATTACCATTATGTATCACCATATTACTACCTCACTATCTTTCTTTATGTATCAGAATACATTAATACCTCACAACCTTCCTTTATGTATCAGAATACATTAATACCTCACAGCCTTCCATTATGTATTACAATACATTAATACCTCACTACCTTCCTTTATGTATCACAATACATTAATACCTCACAACCTTCCATTATGTATCACAATACATTAATACCTCACAACCTTCCATTATGTATCACAATACATTAATACCTCACAACCTTCCATTATGTATCACAATACATTAATACCTCACAACCTTCCTTTATGTATCACAATACATTAATACCTCACAACCTTCCTTTATGTATCACAATACATTAATACCTCACAACCTTCCTTTATGTATCACAATACATTAATACCTCACAACCTTCCTTTATGTATCACAATACATTAATACCTCACAACCTTCCATTATGTATCACAATACATTAATACCTCACAGCCTTCCATTATGTATTACAATACATTAATACCTCACAACCTTCCATTATGTATCACAATACATTAATACCTCACAACCTTCCATTATGTATCACAATACATTAATACCTCACAACCTTCCATTATGTATCACAATACATTAATACCTCACAGCCTTCCATTATGTATTACAATACATTAATACCTCACAACCTTCCTTTATGTATCACAATACATTAATACCTCACAACCTTCCTTTATGTATCACAATACATTAATACCTCACAACCTTCCATTATGTATCACAATACATTAATACCTCACTACCTTCCTTTATGTATCACAATACATTAATACCTCACTACCTTCCATTATGTATCACAATACATTAATACCTCACTACCTTCCTTTATGTATCACAATACATTAATACCTCACAACCTTCCATTATGTATCACAATACATTAATACCTCACTACCTTCCTTTATGTATCACAATACATTAATACCTCACTACCTTCCTTTATGTATCACAATACATTAATACCTCACTACCTTCCATTATGTATCACAATACATTAATACCTCACAACCTTCCATTATGTATCACAATACTTTAATACCTCACTACCTTCCTTTATGCATCACAATACATTAATACATCACAAGCTTCAACCTTTATTAAACTTTAATATGTAATACCTTCAAAATGTTATTGTCAGCTATTAGAAAAAAACTCGGCAACATAACTTACTTTTGTTGTCTTTGCAGTTGGCACCAGTGTCAGATTCAGCCAGCTGCGCCACCAGCTGGTTAAGTTGCGTGATGGCCAGCTGGTTAGAGAGCGCCGTCATGCGTAGGTAATCATCCATATCAACATTGGCACCGTCATCAGGCACCGAGGTACTCTCTGGCACAGTGCCGTCGAATTGCTCAGGTGGTGCCACCATGGGCAGAAGGAGGCTGTTGAGTAGCAGCTGGTACTGAAGGAGAGGATTCCCCAATAGGTGGTGCGAGAGCAGCAAGTTCGGCGCGTTTGCCATCTTGCTGGTGCTCTGAGTGACGTGCTCAGAGCCCTACAAAAGTTGATATTCCCTGATGGGAAATACGAATGTTTGTGAGTGTGGGATGAGGTCTGCTAAAAAAACTACCTGGCTGATGATGCAGGCACTACAAGAGGCTGTACTGGACGTATTTGGTAGACTTGTGAGAGTCTGCAGGCAATTATGTTTCGATCTTAAGGTTTGTTTTTACTTTTCTCTTACTGCCTAGAATTACTCAAGCTGAGATGTAAAGTCGGGTCCATAACTGGTGTTTACGTTATGATGAATGTTTATCTAAAGATACAAATATAAGTGCAACATTTCTGTTCGATGTAGTGTACGTAATTCCCAGCTGAGTTTGTTGTCTTCTACCTTGTTCTGAGAGTGGTGCTGGAATATGTTAGTGTACAAAAATTTGGATGATAGTGTTGTATTAGGCTAGTGAGCACACTGAAGAGTGCCAGTGTATGTGTGTGTATAGAGTGGTGACCCAGGCCAGAGTGCCAGAGGGCCGCACTTGCTACCGTGTATATCATCAATAACACACAGTGCACGGGAACCAGAGGCGTCAACACTCAACCTTTCAACACCACTTCCATGTCTCCTCTATCCTCTCTTCCCTCCTCTCCCTTCCTCCCTCCTTTCTCTCTCTCTCTCTCTCTCTCTCTCTCTCTCTCTCTCTCTCTCTGCAATGTATAATTTCTCTTGCCACCTTTCTGGGATGATGGAGATATCTTCATAAAAATTTCATTTTTGGTGTGTGTATGGGAGAGGGTCACAGACTATCCTGAGAGATAGTAGTTCGGAAGTGATAGTAACTCCAGTTCTGTTGGAAGGAAACCCCTGAAGCTGCCCTAATTCATGAACCTTACTGGAAAACTTGACGATATCCTTATTGATTTACTGAAGTCTCAAAGCCAGACTGACGCTACTGAAGTCTGCCAACTCAGGCTGATACTACTGAAGTCTCCCAGCTCAGACTGACACTACTGAAGTCTGCCAGCTCAGACTGACACTACTGAAGTCTGCCAGCTCAGACTGACACTACTGAAGTCTGCCAACTCAAGCTGATTCCACTGAATTCTGCCAGCTTAAGTTGACGCTACTGAAGCCTCCCGGCTCAGGCTGACACCACTGCAGTCTGTCAGCTCAGGCTGACACCACTGCAGTCTGTCAGCTCAGGCTGACACCACTGCAGTCTGTCAGCTCAGGCTGACAGACTTCAACAGCTTGTATAAGCAGTGTCCAGAGTGATGGAACAACATGAGAGAGAAACATCGCTGGTCACTCATGATACAGATTATAGACTAACATAGCTGCTGCACACTCTTGATGTTTCCATTTTTGATGAAGTAAAACAATCATCAGTCCATTCATCTCCCTCCCTCCATCTATCTGCCTCCCTCTCTCCCTTCCTTCATCTCTCTATCCTCCCTCCTTTCCTCCCTCCCTCCTTCCCTCAATCTCCCATATTTCCCTCCCTCCCTTCCTCTATCTCCCATACCTCCCTTTCTATTTCCTCTCCCTTTCTCCTTTCATCTATCACAATTATATTTCCCCTCCCTCCCTCCCTCCTTCCCTGTTTCACTCCCCCTTCTTCCTCCCTACTTCCCTACCTCCCTTCCTCCCTACCTCCCTTCCTCCTTTCTTTCCTACCGCCTTTCCTATCCCCCTCCCATCTTCCCTCCCTTTCTTACTCCCTCTCTTCTTCCCTCCCTCGATTCCTCCCTCATACGACCTCATAATGTGGCATTATTACATTGATTTACACATAGATCCAAACTCTCTAAATCTTTCAGACTCTCTACATCTTCCAGGCCTAAATCTTCCAAGTCTATAGCATAATAATATTCTCACCATCCTGGAGTCAACGGTGATTACCTCCCGTTTCCCTTGTGTGTCGGACCATTTGTCTGTCTGCTGGTGTCCCTGTGGAGACACTCATGTCTCCTGGTGTCCCTGTCAAACCACTCATGTCTGCTGATGTCCCTATCGAGCCACTCATGTTTGCATGTCTGATGGTGTCAACGTGGCGCCATTCATGTCTACATGTCTGCTGCTGTCCCTATTTAGCCGCACATGTCTGCTCGTCTCCCAGTGTGACCACACATGTCTACATATCTCCTAGTGTCCCTGTGGAGCCATACATGTCTACATGTCTGTTTTTCCTAATCTACACTATATGGAAGGTAGAAGTCAGCCATGGTAGATATTGGTATGGATCGTCTTAAGTAGATGTTGTGAATGTTCCAGTTGTAGAGTAGCTGGATACTAGACAGTAGAAGAGATCCGCTTAATGATGTCACTGGCTTCACTGTGTCTCCATTTGTTGAACCTGCCTCGTACAAAGTACTGGTAACCTGCCTCGTACAAAGTACTGGTAACCTGCCTCGTGCACTGTACTGGTAACCTGCCTCGTGCACTGTACTGGTAACCTGCCTAGTGCACTGTACTGGTAACCTTGCCTCGTGCACTGTACTGGTAACCTGCATCGTGCACTGTACTGGTAACCTGCCTCGTGCACTGTACTGGTAACCTGCCTCGTGCACTGTACTGGTAACCTGCCTAGTGCACTGTACTGGTAACCTGCCTCGTGCACTGTACTGGTAACCTGCCTCGTGCACTGTACTGGTAACCTGCCTCGTGCACTGTACTGGTAACCTGCCTCGTGCACTGTACTGGTAACCTGCCTCGTGCACTGTACTGGTAACCTGCCTCGTGCACTGTACTGGTAACCTGCCTTGTGCACTGTACTGGTAACCTGCCTCGTGCACTGTAATGGTAACCTGCCTCGTGCACTGTACTGGTAACCTGCCTCGTGCACTGTACTGGTAACTTGCCTCGTGCACTGTACTGGTAACCTGCCTCGTGCACTGTACTGGTAACCTGCCTCGTGCACTGTACTGGAAACCTGCATCGTGCACTGTACTGGTAACTTGCCTCGTGCACTGTACTGGTAACCTGCCTCGTGCACTGTACTGGTAACCTGCCTCGTGCACTGTACTGGTAACCTGCCTCGTGCACTGTACTGGTAACCTGCCTCGTGCACTGTACTGGTACCTGCCTCGTGCACTGTACTGGTAACCTGCCTCGTGCACTGTACTGGTAACCTGTCTCGTGCACTGTACTGGTAACCTGCCTCGTGCACTGTACTGGTAACCTGCCTCGTGCACTGTACTGGTAACTTGCCTCGTGCACTGTACTGGTAACCTGCCTCGTGCACTGTACTGGTAACCTGCCTCGTGCACTGTACTGGTAACCTGTCTCGTGCACTGTACTGGTAACCTGCCTCGTGCACTGTACTGGTAACCTGCCTCGTGCACTGTACTGGTAACCTGCCTCGTGCACTGTACTGGTAACCTGCCTCGTGCACTGTACTGGTAACCTGCCTCATGCACTGTACTGGTAACCTGCCTCGTGCACTGTACCAGTAACCTGCCTCGTGCACTGTATTGGTAACTTGCCTCGTGCACTGTACTGGTAACCTGCCTCGTGCACTGTACTGGTAACCTGCCTCGTGCACTGTACTGGTAACCTGCCTCGTGCACTGTACTGGTAACCTGCCTCGTGCACTGTACTGGTAACCTGCCTCGTGCCTGTACTGGTAACCTGTCTCGTGCACTGTACTGGTAACCTGCCTCGTGCACTGTACTAGTAACCTGCCTCGTGCACTGTACTGGTAACCTGCATCGTGCACTGTACTGGTAACCTGCCTCGTGCACTGTACTGGTAACCTGCCTCGTGCACTGTACTGGTAACTTGCCTCGTGCACTGTACTGGTAATCTGCATGGTGCACTGTACTGGTAACCTGCCTCGTGCACTGTACTGGTAACCTGCATCGTGCACTGTACTGGTAACCTGCCTCGTGCACTGTACTAGTAACCTGCCTCGTGCACTGTACTGGTAACCTGCATCGTGCACTGTACTGGTAACCTGCCTCGTGCACTGTACTGGTAACCTGCCTCGTGCACTGTACTGGTAACCTGCATCGTGCACTGTACTGGTAACCTGCCTCGTGCACTGTACTGGTAACCTGCCTCGTGCACTGTACTGGTAACCTGCATCGTGCACTGTACTGGTAACCTGCCTCGTGCACCGTACTGGTAACCTGCCTCGTGCACTGTACTGGTAACCTTCCTCGTGCACTGTACTTGTAACCTGCCTCGTGCACTGTACTGGTAACCTGCCTCGTGCGCTGTACTGGTAATCTGCCTCGTGCACTGTACTGGTAACCTGCCTCGTGCACTGTACTGGTAACCTGCCTCGTGCACTGTACTGGTAACCTGCCTCGTGCACTGTACTGGTAACCTGCCTCGTGCACTGTACTGGTAACCTGCCTCGTGCACTGTACTGGTAACTTGCCTCGTGCACTGTACTAGTAACCTGCCTAGTGCACTGTACTGGTAACCTGCCTCGTGCACTGTACTGGTAACCTGCCTCGTGCACTGTACTAGTAATCTGCCTCGTGCACTGTACTGGTAACCTGCCTCGTGCACTGTACTAGTAATCTGCCTCGTGCACTGTACTGGTAACCTGCCACGTGCACTGTACTGGTAACCTGCCACGTGCACTGTACTGGTAACCTGCCACGTGCACTGTACTGGTAACCTGCCTCGTGCACTGTACTGGCAACCTGCCTCGTGCACTGTACTGGTAACCTGCCTCGTGCACTGTACTGGTAATGTGCCTCATGCACTGTACTGGTAACTTGCCTCGTGCACTGTACTGGTAATCTGCCTCGTGCACTGTGCTGGTAACCTGCCTCGTGCACTGTACTGGTAACCTGCCTTTTGCACTGTGCTGGTAACCTGCCTCGTGCACTGTACTGGTAACGTGCCTTTTTCACTGTACTGGTAATCTGCCTCGTGCACTGTGCTGGTAACATGCCTCGTGCACTGTACTGGTAACCTGCCTCGTGCACTGTACTGGTAACCTGCCTCGTGCACTGTACTGGTAACCTGCCTCGTGCACTGTACTTTTAACCTGCCTCGTGCACTGTACTGGTAACCTGCCTCGTGCAATGTACTGGTAACCTGCCTCGTGCACTGTACTGGTAACCTGCCTCGTGCACTGTACTGGTAACCTGCATCGTGCACTGTACTGATAACCTGCCACGTGCACTGTACTGGTAAGCTGCCTCGTGCACTGTACTGGTAACCTGCCTAGTGCACTGTACTGGTAACCTGCCACGTGCAATGTACTGGTAACCTGCCTCGTGCACTGTACTCGTAACCTGCCTCGTGTACTGTAGTGGTAACCTGCCTCGTGCACTGTACTAGTAATGTGCCTCGTGCACTGTACTGGTAACTTGCCTCGTGCACTGTACTGGTAATCTGCCTCATGCACTGTGCTGGTAACCTGCCTCATGCACTGTACTGGTAACCTGCCTTTTGCACTGTGCTGGTAACCTGCCTCGTACACTGTACTGGTAATGTGCCTTTTTCACTGTACTGGTAATCTGCCTCGTGCACTGTGCTGGTAACATGCCTCGTGCACTGTACTGGTAACCTGCCTCGTGCACTGTACTGGTAACCTGCCTCGTGCACTGTACTGGTAACCTGCCTCGTGCACTATACTGGTAACCTGCATCGTGCACTGTACTGGTAACCTGCCTCGTGCACTGTACTGGTAACCTGCCTCGTGCACTGTACTGGTAACCTGCCACGTGCACTGTACTGGTAACCTGCCTCGTGCACTGTACTGGTAACCTGCCTCGTACAGTTGTACTGGTAAGCTACCTTGTACAGTTGTACTGGTAAGCTGCCTCGTGCAGCTGTACTGGTAAGCTACCTCGTGCACGTGTACTGGTAAGCTGCCTCATACTGTTGTACTGGTAAGCTGCCTCGTACAGTTGTGCCGGTAAGCTGCCTCGTACAGTTGTACTGGTAAGCTGCCTCGTTCAGTGGTACTGGTAAGCTGCCTCGTAAAGTTTTACTGGTAAGCTGCCTCGTTCAGTTGTACCGGTAAGCTGCCTTGTACAGTGGTACTGGTAAGCTGCCTTGTACAGTTGTACTGGTAAGCTGCCTCTTGCATTTGTACTGGTAAGGTGCCTCGTACAGTTGTACTGGTAAGCTGCCTCGTACAATGGTAGTGGTAAGCTGCCTCGTACAGTGGTACTGGTAAGCTTCCTTGTACAGTGGTACTGGTAAGCTGCCTCGTTCAGTGGCATTGGTAAGCTGCCCCGTGCAGTTGTACTGGTAAGCTGCCTCTTGCAGTTGTACTGGTAAGCTGCCTCGTACAGTTGTACTGGTAAGCTGCCTCGTACAATGGTAGTGGTAAGCTGCCTCGCACAGTGGTACTGGTAAGCTTCCTCGTACAGTGGTACTGGTAAGCTGCCTCGCTCAGTTGTACTGGTAAGCTGCCTCGTACAGTTCTACTGGTAAGCTGCCTCGTACAATGGTAGTGGTAAGCTGCCTCGTACAGTGGTACTGGTAAGCTGCCTCGTACAGTGGTACTGGTAAGCTGCCTCGTACAGTGGTACTAGTAAGCTTCCCCGTACAGTGGTACTGGTAAGCTGCCTCGTACAGTTGTACTGGTAAGCTGCCTCGTACAGTGGTACTGGTAAGCTGCCTCGTACAGTGGTACTGGTAAGCTGCCTCGTACAGTGGTACTGGTAAGCTGCCTCGTACAGTGGTACTGGTAAGCTGTTTCGTACAGTGGTACTGGTAAGCTGCCTCGTACAGTGGTACTGGTAAGCTGCCTCGTACAGTGGTACTGGTAAGCTGCCTCGTACAGTGGTACTGGTAAGCTGCCTCGTACAGTGGTACTGGTAAGCTGCCTCGTACAGTGGTACTGGTAAGCTGCCTCGTACAGTGGTACTGGTAAGCTGCCTCGTACAGTGGTACTGGTAAGCTGCCTCGTACAGTGGTACTGGTAAGCTGCCTCGTACAGTGGTACTGGTAAGCTGTTTCGTACAGTGGTACTGGTAAGCTGCCTCGTACAGTGGTACTGGTAAGCTGCCTCGTACAGTGGTACTGGTAAGCTGCCTCGTACAGTGGTACTGGTAAGCTGCCTCGTACAGTGGTACTGGTAAGCTGCCTCGTACAGTGGTACTGGTAAGCTGCCTCGTACAGTGGTACTGGTAAGCTGCCTCGTACAGTGGTACTGGCTCAGTATTCATTAATGTTTACTTCAGTCTCAAACTTAAAAGTTTTATTTATTTAATTCTATAGAGTTTAACTTAGAATAGAAATATAAAATAAAATAATGGGAATTATTTTTTTGTTTTATGTAATTACGCAGTATTGTCTTCACATGGTCACATATACTTGCATTCTTATTACCTCTCTTTACTGATATTAATGAAGAATATAAAGGAACAGTACCGTGACTTGGGCAGTGAACACGTAATCCGCACATAGGATTTGATGACGTTTCGGTCCGACTTGAACCACTGACAAGTCTCACTAACACACGGAGGTAAGGGAGCCAGTTAATATACGAAAAGAGGACAAGGACGGGACAAGAGGGAAAGAAAGAGGAATTAGAGAAGTAGTGGTAGAAGTAAGACTGGTAGTGGAAGTAATAGTAGAAGTAGTAGTAAGTAGTGTCTGGATATTAATGAATATGTTGGGTTAAAAATGTAAATTATCAATATTTTTTATAAAACAAGAACTCACTCTCCTCAGTTTCCTTCACTAAATATTCTTTGGCTCTATTCTTTTCTTGTTTATATTAAAAATTACCTTTACATAATTAGGTACGCCATTCTTCACCTTGATCACTGTATAATACAGGTGTTGGAGACCTGGCCACCTACTGTAGGTATTACAAAATTGGTATCGTAATGGCTTTGTTTCCAAGGGAAGTGAACACAGTTTTGTAATGCCCAGGGAATACGACATTTACTGCTAAGTATTGTTTCTCTATAGTTATCCTGTGTTGACTAGGGTGATCGTAGATGTTGTAACACTTGGTGTTACCCGGGTGAGGGCGACACTTGGGAAGCCCTGATTGACACTCCCACCAGTGGTGCTGATACTATGTCAATGATAAGTCTTGTCTGGTCATCAGGGTGTTCTCATCTACAGAAAAGAATGGATTTTAGTTTACCAGATATTATTAGTAAACTGATATTGATTACTTAGTTGTATCTGGAATTTTTTTTCGCATATTACAGTAAATCAATAAAATTATTTCACCATATGGTCTGGATGTCGCCACACGAGGAAGATAATACTGACCTCTCTGCCCTTCCCTTCAACTTTTCCTCCCCAGCTCAATCAACCCTTCGCTAAAATTTTGTGCTGGGTACATGTGTGTGTGTGTGTGTCATGGTGACTGGTGCACCGAGCTAGGATGTTACGACATTTGAGGTGTCCTCGTCAATGTTCAGCAGTGATACCACCCTGCTGCTGCCACTGTCCTCACCAGCATTCAGCAGTGCCACCACCGTGCTACTGCCAGTGCCCTCGCCAGTGTTCAGCAGTGCCACTACCGTGCTACTGACAGTATTCTCACCAGTGTTCAGCAGTGCCACCACCGTGCTACTGCCAGTGTCCTCGCCAGTGTTCAGTAGTGTCACCACAGTGCCACTAGCCCTCTTACACCTGTCACCTGACTTGTCGTCTCACTTAGCAGTAGTTTAACACTTTTTCTTGGATACACACACACAGTTGCTTACAAATTTTATCATAGCTTGCAAAAATGTGGCAGAACTTCTGCAGTCATTCTAGATCTCAAGCTGCATACAGCCTCTAAAGGCATTCTAAGATTTATCAGACTGATAAAAATGTCTTCAGACTGTTATTAATGTGACGAGATTATTCAGACCTTCCCAGAGTGTTGCGTGTTGTCTGGACAGTGTTTCTCTTATAACCTGCTCTTGTAAAATAGAGAAATATCTCTTGGCTTAATACATTGTGTGTATGGTTTATCAGATACCATGAAGGCTCTAATAAATCTTCCCACTCTACCTGACTCTACTAACCTCTACCAGCCACACCCTTTATCTCAGTCATCATACCCTTTGCCCCAGCCACCACACCACCACTTGTCTCAGCCATCATACCACTTGCCCCAGTCGTCATATCTCTGGTTGCAGCCAAAATACTCCTTGCCCCAGTTGCCCCACTCTACGAACACCTTGCTACATAGTCCTCTGGTGCTGGCCAGCCTGCTGTTGTTAATAGGTTCCTCTAAGCGTGCCCCTAGCACCAGCTGGTCCTCCCTGGCCCACGATGACCATCTGCAGGCTCTCCTCTCTCACAACCTGGACGCAGTCCATGTTATCAACTACAACCTCTCCAGCACCTTACAACAAAGACGCCAAACAGGTAAATATGCAAATATACTGCCAAGTTCTGCAACACAAATAAATCTGTACATAGACCTGCCAGTCTCGACACTACTGGTAAGTGCTTCTTGATGGCGTATTATGTGTATTTCTTGACAAATAAATAAGATGCAAAATAGTCAGGCACCACAGTCATGCCTATGTCATTATTAATTAAGAAAAAAATTACCTCCGGCCCTTGGAACTAATTCAACACTTAGGTCTCAGAATTACTCTTGCCTGTCCTAAAACTGCTAATGTCTTTAATATGAGAGAAGAGCTTGATGTTCTAAGTACTTGGTATTAGAATGTTAAGAAATGAACGAGAATCCCACTACAAATATTACTAAATGTCTAGAAATAAATAAACAAATGTAAATGAGTTGTGAAGACATGCAGTTATATTAAGTCTTATAACTTGCACGAACTGTATCACTGTAGACAACAACAACGTTTCACCCTCCATGGAAGATGTGTTTGTTTATTATTATATATTTTACAGCTCCTCCCAAGAAGCTCATCACTAGTAATTCCTTCCTTAAATCATTTGAAAAGGCACTATATCATCCTTTTGCAGACGATATGAAAATTTTCATTAGTGTCATCCACTAAAGACAATAATGGTAATCTCGAAGCTGATATAAACCAAGTCTTCCAGTAGGCTACAGAAAACAGTATTATGCTCAGTGAGAACAAATTTAAATTTCTCCATTATGGGAAAATTGAGGAAATGAAAGGTAGAACGGAGTATAAAACTAATTCTAATTACACAACAGAGCGAAAACTAACGTGAAGGACTTAGGAGTGATCATGTCAGAAGATCTCACCTTCAAGAATCACAACAGTGTCACTATAACAACTGGGAGGAAAATGATAAGATGGATAATGAGAAATTTCCAAACAAGAGATGCCTAGCCAATGATGATCCTCTTTATGTCACTTAATCTCTCTAAGCTGGAATATTGTTGTACACCAGCTACCTAACTACATGAATAAGTTCACTCAAGAACCTTAATTAGCGGTAACGTTTGGCGTCACTTAACCTGTACTCCTTGGAGCACAGATGAAAAAAATACATCGAAATTTACACCTGGAAAATCCTAGCGGGACTGGTCACTGGACCCAACTCTGCACATAGAAATCACTCTTTACGAAAGCAAAAGACTCGGCAGACGCTGCAATCTACGCCCGATGTAAAGCAGGGGTGCCATGAGTACACTATGAGGCAACACAATAAGTTTAAGGGGCCCAGGACTATTCAACAACTTCCCATCATACATAAAGGGAATTACCAATTCAGTTCCTCAAGTAAATTCCTGATCAACCGGGCTATGGTCTGTAAGTCGGACTGTGTGCGGCCAGCAGTAAGAGCACAGGATTCAAGTAATCTTGTCTGGTGGTAAAATGATTACATGCAGATTTAATGACCCTCTAGTAATAGATAGGCTTTAAGCCTCACTAACCAACTGACCAACTAACCAAGTAATAGCTTGGTAAATCAGGCTTTGATCCACTAGTAGGCTTAGTCTGGGTGTAGACCCTGGGCACGCTTGATCCACTAGTAGGCTTAGTCTGGGTGTAGTCCCTGGACACGCTTGATCCACTAGTAGGCTTAGTCTGGGTATAGACCCTGGGCACGCTTGATCCACTAGTAGGCTTAGTCTGGGTGTAGACCCTGGGCACGCTTGATCCACTAGTAGGCTTAGTCTGGGTGTAGACCCTGGGCACGCTTGATCCACTAGTAGGCTTAGTTTGGGTGTAGGCCCTGGGCACGCTTAATCCACTAGTAGGCTTAGTCTGGGTGTAGGCCCTGGGCACGCTTGATCCACTAGTAGGCTTAGTCTGGGTGTAGACCCTGGGCACGCTTGATCCACTAGTAGGCTTAGTCTGGGTGTAGGCCCTGGGCACGCTTGATCCACTAGTAGGCTTAGTCTTCGACTGTAGACCCTGGACACGCTAATCCACTAGTAGGCTTAGTCTGGGTGTAGGCCCTGGGCACGCTTAATCCACTAGTAGGCTTAGTCTTCGTGTAGACCTTGGGCACGCTGATCCACTAGTAGGCTTAGTCTTCATGTAGACCCTGGGCACGCTGATCCACTAGTAGGCTTAGTCTTCGCGTAGACCCTGGGCACGCTGATCCACTAGTAGGCTTAGTCTGGGTGTAGACCCTGGACACACTGATCCCCGAGTACATTCTTCATGTATCCTATTATTATTAATACTACTACTACTAGTTGTACAAGAATGGTATACAATACCGACAAGATGAAATTAAGACATATGTGCAACATCTGGGTATCTTTACTGGGGAATCCCGCCTGCCGGTGACTATGCCCTCGTCTGCTACACGTTCCCCTTCCACCTGACGTTAGTACGTAAGCGCCAGGCTCCTTGCTTGTGCTTCAGAATCTCCACGACTCCAAGGTTGAGGGACTGATTACCTCATCTTCTGTATATAGTCCTACTGTCTTCAAATTATGTCCTGGAATTTGTATTGATAAAGCCACTGGATGGCGAAACGTCTACAATAAAGATACCCAGATGTTGCACATGTGTCTTAATTTCACTACTACTACTAATATTATTTTTATCATTATTATTAAAGAATAAAGAGGCACAATAAACAACCCGCACATAGGAGACAGAAACTTATGACGACGTTTCGGTCCGACTTGGACCATTAACTAATCACTAGTAATTGTCCAAGTTGGACCGAAATGTCGTCATAAGTTTCATTTTCTTATGTACGGGTTATTTGTGTATTATTATTATTATTATTATTATTATTATTATTATTATTATTATTAGTAGCAGTAGTAGTAGTAGTAGTAGTAGTAGTATACACAGTGGGAAGTATTAAATAAAGTGTATGTGATATACACTTTCTGAGTAATGCTGTAGATGATCGTGATTCACAACATTTTCTAGCACAACGACCCCACATACTCATGGTCATGATTTTAAGCTTCGTTTAATTGAGAAAATACATAATAAAATAAATAGTGCAACGAACTCTATAACACTTTGCTGACTCCTTGGAATATATCAGTGGGTCGCCTAGGGAGTCCGCGACCCACAGTTTGAGAACCACTGGACGGTGTAGTGGTCTGAAGAAACTAGTGGTTTCTTCAGTCCAATAGAAAGAAGAACGGTGGAAGATGAGCATATCGACTACAGCCTGCGGGACTGAGTACCTCAAAGTCCTTCTCACCTTTCACCGTTCTTCTCTGTATTGGACTGAAGAAGCCACTAGCTGGCGAAACGTTTCCTTAATAAAGATTCCCAAATGTTGCACAAGTGTCTCATTCTTCATATATTTGATGTTTACGCAGTGACTGGTGCCAAGTAATGGAGAGACTGATGAGGTCGCCTTTGAGGCACTAAAGCTACTCTCCCCTTCCTTCCTTCACTAAAACCTGATTGCCACTCATTCTCGAGGTGCTGTATTGCCCTTACGGATTTAGTGCTTCCCCAAGAATTTAATAGCAACAGCAGCAACAACGAAAAGAAAAGCAGCAACAAAAACAGAAGCAACAACATGAATGAACAACTTCATCAATAACAGGAACAACAATACATCAGCTGACAGTGTGACCTTTCCTGACACCGTATTGAGTGCCACACAGCAGTGAGTGAGGTTACTGAGAGCAATGACACTGCTGACTACTTGTTGGTCATCACTCTACTGGTCGCCCTTGCACTGAACATGCCTTACCTTCACATTCCTTTACCAAGACTGCCAAGTATCCTGTGTTACGAACAGTTGGTAGCCGTGTGTTTGAGGCGGAGCCAGCTGACCAGCACCAGTTGACCGGCACCAGTTGACCGGCACCAGTTGACCGGCACCAGCTGACCGGCACCAGCTGACCAGCACCAGCTGGTCCACACCAGCTGACCAGCACCAGCTGGCTAGCACCAGCTGACCAGCACCTCTACTTGGGCTCGCATAGGCCACCAACACAACCTTTAATATGTTTAGTTATATTATCATCACCTACGACAACACTGACACAGTTCTTGAAGGCAACTAGGAAAGTTTCCTGACTCTAGAACTTGTATCTTAGCAGCATTTGCTTGACTAATGGAAACAATAGTCTCAATACAGTACAAAACATTAGTACAAATAGTCTCATTATCTTCATTTAGATTTGGTATCGTTTCATGGGATAAATATTCCTGTTGCCTTTGATCAAGAAGCACCTGGTGTCTCTTTCTACCTCCCTTTCTTAAAATTTTAACCTCTCATTCCTTCTCCTATATACACTTAGTCTCAACTACCTAGCTAGAGTTGAAGGTAGCTAGACTGTAGTTAGTCTTCAGCAGATAGCCTTGATATGGACTGTAAGATCTCCTGCTGTCTGCTTCACTAAACTACTTCCTTATACTACTCTTTATGAAATCACTTTTTTCCAAGTGTTCTATCACTCTCCTGATTACCTTATCCATTACCTTTCATGACTTGTAACTCGTCTGTTTCTATAAGTTCCAGCTGTGTCCCTCGCCACACCCCGGTGTTCTTCCTCACATTAACTTCCATCCATCTACCTCGCAGGCTCCTTCGTGGAGAAGGAGAGGCAAGGCTGCAGGAGCCGACTAGTGAGGGAAGCCCCTCAGACGCTCTCCTCAGGGTTCCTGCCTCTACAGGAATCCATCGTGGCCCTTCAGGAGGCTCTCGTACGACGCCACATCAGGAAGCAACCCACTCAAGGTAACTCCAGGGAAAAAGAGATGAAAATAGCAAGGGAGGAAAAAGAGGAGTAGTAAAAGACAAAGGAAAAAGATCGTAGTAAGAGAGTTTTTTCTTCCTTGGCCCTTTCTGTTTACTCAACCAGTGGTTTAGTACTCTTCTTGTCCCTTTAACCATCTTCATTGTGGTTTATATTTACAAATAAAACTTTAAATGGTCTACTTTTATCATCGTATTTATATTGACGCGTTTGTGGTCATGCACATTGTTTGTGCATGTGGAGATGGTCTTCAGGTAAGTCTGCTACCATCACTTGTTGCCTTACCTTAATACCTATCCTGGAAGCCACTACCACCCTCCTATACTTACATCCTTACCTTGGTACCCACAATGGTAACTGATACTACCTTATACATGCTTTTAGTGCACGTTTTAGCACTGTCAGGAGTTCTCTGTCATATAAATAAAATATATGATATTCCCACATATCGCCCCTTCTTAGAAGCTACTATAGTACTAACACATTCATCTAGTGCTATCTGTCCCTCAAAGCTGTGGATGAGGTGCTGCGCTCCCTCTCCATGGAACTGGAGAGGCAGAGAACTCGTCTGGAGAAGCTCAAAGGAAAGAAAGAAGGCTCATCCTCACATCCCATCACTGATAAAAAACCATGTGAGTACTTCCTCGCTCTTCTCAAGGTCCTGACGGTGACTTATGTCACTTGGTGAGTACCATTAGGTAACGTGGTAATGTCTCTCTCGATGTTAATGGATGGAGGATCAAGCTTCAACCTCTCCATGCTCTCAATGACCAGTAGTAATATTTAGTAATAGTAGTAGAAGTATATATAATGGTATATATAATATATATACCATTATATATAGTATATATAATGGTAAAAGATGAAAGTTTAATCATGGATGTTAATAAGTTTGTACAAGGAGCATGATGATAGTTAAATCTTAGCCAGAGATGTCAGGCACATCTAGTTATGCAAAACAAGTCACAGTGAGTAAATGAATCAGCTCAAGATCTTTCACACTATTGCCTGCACTTCGTCAAGAGCTTTGCGTTATAAAGAAATTGATGAATGAGATGGAAATTTCAGAGACAGCCCGACAGTGCGGCCAAAACTGTGACCCATACCGAGAAATCTGGTAGTGAGGATGTGTGTGTGTATGCATGTCTCTACTCATCTAATTGTGGTTGCAGGGGTCGATCCATAGCTCCTGGCCCCGCCTCTTCACTGGTCGCTACTGGGTCACTCCCTCCCTGCTCCGTAAGCTTTATCATATCTCTTCTTAAAGCTATGAATGGATCCGGCCTCCACCACCTCCCTTTCCAGACTGTTCCACTTCCTGACAACTCTGTGACTGAAGAAATACTTCCTAACATCCCTGTAACTCATCTGAGTCTTCAACTTCCAACTGTGACCCCTGTTGATTTGTCCCATCTCTGGAACATCCGGTCTCTGACCACCTTGTTAATTCCTCTCAGTATTTATATGTCGTTATCATGTCTTCCCTGTCCTCCAGTGTCGTCAAGTCGAATTCTCTTAACCTCTCCTCATAGAACATGCCCCTTAGCTCCGGGACTAGTCTCGTTGCAAACCTTTGCACTTTCTCTAGTTTCCTGACGTGCTTGGCCAGGCGAGGGATTCCAAACTGGGGCTGCATACTCCAATATGGGCCTGACGTACACGGTGTACAGGGTCCGGAACGACTCCTTATTGAGATGTCGGAATGCTATTCTTAGGTTCCCAAGTCGCCCATATGCTGCAGCAGTTATTTGGTTGATGTGCGCCTCAGGAAATGTGCTCGGTATTATACACACTCCAAGATCCTTTTCCTTGAGTGAAGCTTGTAGTCTTTGGCCACCTAGCCCTTACTCTGTCTACGGTCTTCTTTGCCCTTCCCCAATCTTTATGACTTTGCACTTGGTGGGTTGAACTCCAGGAGCCAATTGCTGGACCAGGCTTGCAGCCTGTCGAGATTCCTCTGTAGTCCTGCCTTATCCTCCTCAGATTGAATTATCCTCATTAACTTAACTTCATCTGCAAACAGAGACACTTCTGAGTCTATTCCGTTATGTCATTCACATATACCAGGAACAGCACCGGTCCTAGGACTGACCCCTGTGGAACCCTGCTCGTCACAGGCGCCCACTCTGGCATTTCATCACGTACCATGACTCGCTGCTGCCTTCCCGTCAGGTATTCTCTGATCTAGTGCATCACCTTCCATGTTATACCTGCCTGGTACTCCAGCTTTTGCACTAGTCTCTTGTGTGGAACTGTATCAAAAGCCTTCTTACAGTCCAAGAAAATGCAATCTACCCACCTCTCTCTCTCTTGTTTTACTGCTGTCACCTTGTCATAGAACTCCTGTAGGTTTGTGACAGGAGTTCCCATCTCTGAATCCGTGCTGGTTGTTGTTTATAAGCTCATTCCTTTCTAGGTGGTCCACCACTCTTCTCCTGAAAATATTCTTCCTCACTTTGCATACAGTACATGTCAGTGTCACTGGTGTGTAGTTTAATGCTGTGTGTTTGTCCCCTTTTTCAAAAATTGTAACTACAATTGCTGTCTTTCTTACCTCAGGTAGTCGCCCTGTTTCGATAGATGTGTTGAGGATTGTTGTTAGTGCTACACAGAGTGCCTCTGCTCCCTCTCTCAGGGCCCATGGAGAGACGTTATCCTGCCCCATCGCCGTTGAGATATCTAGTTTCCTTAGCAGTCTCTTCACCTCCTCCTCGGTTGTATGGTGTCCAGCACTTGTTGGTGTATCCCACCTCTCTGTCTCTCTGGAGTCATTTCTGTCTCCACTGTGAATACTTCTTTGAATCTCATGTTGAGCTCCTCACAAGCTTCAAGGTCGTTTCTTGTAAACTCCCCTCCTTCCTTCCTCAGCCTGATTACCTGGTCTTTGACTATTGTTTTCTTCCTGATGTGACAATACAACAGCTTCGAGTCAGACTTGGCATTCGCTGCTATGTCCTTTTCGTATTGTCGTTGCGTCTCCCTCCTTACCTGTGTATATTCATTTCATGCTCTTCGACTGCTCTTCATGTTCTCCTTGGGCCTTTGCTTTCTATACTTCTTCCATTCTCTAGTGCACTTGGTTTTGGTCTCTCTACACCTTTGGGTGAACCAAGGCTCACTCTGGCTTTCTCCTTATTTCTGTTACCCTTGGGTGCAAGCCCCTCCTCTGCTTCCTTGCATATTGTTGTCACATATTCCATCATCTCATTTACTGTTTTTCCTGCCAGTTCTCTGCCCTGCTGAACCTCGTGCAGGAAATTCCTCATTCTTGTGTAGTCCCCTCTTTTGTTGTTTGGCTTCATTCTTCCTGCTTCCCTCTCCACCTGTAACTCTACTATGTATTCGAAGTTTAGAACCATGTGATCACTAGCTCCGAGGGGCCTTTTCATATGTGATATCCTTAATATCTGTACTGCTCAAGATGAATACTAGGTCCAGTCTTGCTGGTTCATCCTCTTCCCTCTCTGGCAGTGTCACTAACGTATTGATGCATAAGGTTTTCCAGTATGACCTCCAACATCTTAGCCCGCCTCGTTTCTGGGCCCCTATGTGGCTCCAGGTTTTCTCAGTCGATTTGTGATGGAAGTCACCCACAACCAGTAGCTTTTCCTTGCCCAAATGGGCCCTTCTGGCCACTTTAACCAGTGTATCAACCATCTCTATTACTCTCATCACATTCTTGTCTTGGCCTCCTGCTATTCTGTGGTGGGTAATACATCACTGCAACGATCACCATGAGACATCCAGTCTGAAGTGTTCCTATCATATAGTCCTTTGCTTTTCCTCTGTCCCCTCTCTCCTCAAAATCCCATTGGTTTTTGACGAGCACTCTCACTCCTCCACCATCCCCCTCCCCCCCTGTTCCCTCTTTCTTCAGGATCTGATGTCCAGCTGGAAAGATGGCATTTGTTATCATTCCTGAGAGATGGGTTTCTGTGAGGGCTATGGTTACCTGGAGGTTACCTGGAGGTTATTCCGGGGATCAACGTCCCCGCGGCCCGGTCCATGACCAGGCCTCCCGATGGATCAGGCTGTTACTGCTGGCCGCACGCAGTCAAACGTACGAGCCACATCCCGGCTGATCTGGCACTGACTTTAGGTATCTGTCCAGCTCTCTCTTGAAGGCAGCCAGGGGTTTATTGGCAATTCCCCTAATGCTTGATGGGAGGCTGTTAAACAGTTTTGGGCCCCGGACACTTATGGTGTTTTCCCTTAGTGTACCAATGGCGCCCCTACTTTTTATTGGGGGCATTTTGCATCGCCTGCCCAGTCTTTTACTTTCGTAGGGAGTGATTTCTGTGTGCAGATTTGGGACCATTCCTTCCAAGATTTCCAAGTGTAGATTATGATATATCTCTCCCTCCTGCGTTCCAACGAGTACAAGTCAAGTGCTTCCAAGCATTCCCAGTAGTTAAGGTGCTTGACAGAACTTATACGTGCAGTAAAGGATCTCTGTACACTCTCTAGATCTGCGATTTCACCTGCTTTGAATGGAGATGTTAATGTACGCAGTATTCCAGCCTAGAGAGAACAAGTGATTTGAAAGGATCATCATGGGCTTGGCATCTCTCGTTTTGAAAGTTCTCATTATCCATCCTTTCATTTTCTTTGCACGTGCGATCGTGGCACTGTTGTGATCCCTGAAAGTGAGATCCTCAGACATTACTACTCCCAGGTCCCTTACATTAGTTTTCCGCTCTATTGTATGGCCGGAGTCAGTAGTATATTCTGTTCTAGTTATTATCTCCTCCAGTTTTCCATAACGGAGTAGTTGGAATTTGTCCTCATTGAACATCATATTGTTTACCGTTGCCCATTGGAAAACTTTGTTTATATCTTCTTGGAGATTAATCGCGTCCTCAGCAGATGACAGCCTTATGCAGATCCTAGTATCATCCGCAAAGGATGATACGGTGCTGTGGTGTATATCTCTGTTTATGTCTGATATGAGGATAAGGAATAAGATGGGGGCGAGTACTGTCCTTGGGGAAAACAGAGCTCTTCACTATGGCAGCCTCCGATTTAACTCTTTTAAACCACTACTCTTTGTGTTCGATTTGTTGGGAAGTTGAAGATCCATCTCCCCACTTTCCCAGTTATTCCTTTACCCACGTATTTTATGGCTATTACTCCATGATCGAATTTGTCAAATGCTTTTGCAAAGTCTGTGTATATTACATCTGCATTCTGATTTTCTTCCAGTGCACCCAAAGGGCCCATGTCATAGTGATCCAGTAGTTGTTAGAGGCAGGAAGCGACCTGCCCTGAACCCATGTTGCCCTGGATTGTGCAGATTTTGGGAATCCAGGTGATTTGCAATCCTGCTTCTTAGCACTCTTTCAAAGATTTTTATGATGTGGGACTTTCAGAACTTTTGGGCCCTATATTTTCTTAGCTAATGCTTTGCTGCGACCTTTAGGGAGTGGGGCTATATCCGTTTTTTTAAAAGTGACTGTGGAATTTCACCCATGTCCAAGCTCCTCCTCCATAGTGTACTTAGGGCACACGAGAGGGGTTTCTTGCAGTTCTAATGAAAACAGAGTTCCACGAGTCTGGGCCCGGGGCTGAGTGCATAGGCATGTTGTCAATGGCTTTTTCGAAATCTATCGGAGTTATGGTAATGTCGGAAATC